AATACACTTTAAAAAACCGAATCGAGCAGCGCGTTCATTTAAAAAGCTTGTTCTATATTTTTCCAAATGATTTTGCTTAAACAAAAACAAAAAACACGTCATTACGTATCAGATCCTGCACATATTTGTCCAAATCAGAGAGATGTCTATTCCCATTAGATTAGTTTTATCACAGAACCTCGGAGTTCAGCAAAATGTAGTAGGTAACGTGCGGGGGAGTTTTTACTTTACAAATGACTGACATGGCCGATTCACACGGGATTAACAACACAGACGATCTCTGTAATTATTACAAATAGCATGTGGTCCCTAGGTAAAATAATCCAGTGCGAATAGGGTTTTATACTCCGGAAAATACTGCACGTGAACTGTCTGGAGAGGAAAGAGCAGAGGCTTTTCTTGCACGCTGACCTGGTCTGACCCTGTACAGCATCGTGAGTGTGTTGTGTGACGTCAGGGCGGTGACGTGCAGGTTGTGCACGGTGGGCTGCTGCGCCGCCAGAGCCGTCAGCTCGTGGAAGTGCGTGGCGAAGAGGCAGAAGCAGCCGATCTTGGCGGCGATGTGTTCGCTGATGGCCCAGGCCAGCCCGAAGCCGTCGTACGTGGACGTCCCTCTGCCGAGCTCGTCGATGATGATGAGCGAGCTCTCCGTGGCCGAGCTGCGGAAACACGCGGTGTGAGAACAGAAGCTCGTGCGTCACTGGCTTTGGTGAACGTGCGTTTGTTCTTACCGCAGGATGGCAGCGGTCTCCAACATCTCGGACATAAAAGTGGACACCCCTTTTACCTGGCTGTCTCCAGCTCCCACTCGAGCCAGGACGCTGTCCGTCACACTAAGCTCCGCCTTCTCACATGGCACAAAGCAGCCGATCTGCGCCATCAAAGCGATCAAACCCACCTGCCGGATAAACGTCGACTTTCCGCCCATATTTGGTCCTGGAGACACAACGAAGAGTTAGCTCTAAATCCATCTAGCCTCTCGTCTCCTGTGGCATCTTTCACCTGTTATAATGTAGAAGCTGTTCTCGCCCTGGACAAAGGTGATATCGTTAGGTATGAAGGCGGTGTCTGCGTCCGTCTCCATGCAGGGGTGTCTGGCCTGCAGCAGCTCCAGACGCCTGCAGCCGCCATCTAAGACTCGGGGTCGAACGTACGGGATGGGGGCGGAAACGGACGCCACGGCAAAACTCGCCACTGCGTCCAGCTGCGCTACAACGTCATTTAGCGTCTGGAGGGGATCCACATACCCTAGAGTAGTAGAATTATATTTTAAAAAATAATTCCATAAATGATTACTGAAAAGAGGAGCGTGTCATCAAAAACCTTTTGATTTGATTTAAAAAAAATTTTAAAAATACCAGAAAACCCGAAACCTCACCAAAGCTAACTCCAATTACAAGTTTAAAAGATGTCTCAGTTTTTTGACCTTTGGAGGAAATGTGAACTAAATCAATTCTTTACAAGCCACATAAGCGCATTCATCGTTCCCGCGTAGTAAAGACGCCATACTTCTTCTGTTAGTTAAATCAATGCCATGCTGAGGAGACGCCGTGCGCAGCATGTGATGAAAATCCGTACCTGAGGCGATGCTGATGATCTCCTTGACGATGGCGTTCTGGGCCTCTTCGTACTCCTCCCTGCTCTTGGTGTACTCCTCGTTCAGAGAGCTCAGCTTGCTGGAGACATGTGAAACCCCCCCCCAAGAGGTCATTAGCTGACAAAGAGGGCTCGTTTTGTGCCGAACGCAAGACGTGTGACTCGGCGAGACGGACCTGTTTGTGAAGCGCACGCCGTTCTTCTGCACGTCCAGTGTGGTGAACTTCTTATTGTTCCTCAGACTCTTCTCCTCTTTGCATGTGACTCTCAGGTAGAACCCCAGCACGGCGTTGGACTCCAGCTTCACCGTCTTACCAGCTTCCAGGCCTGAAACATAAAAAAAAGATGCAACTTCCATAAAAGGGGCTTGAAATACAAATTTACATGTTTGGTTTGTCCTGCTGTTAGAAGATTTCATTTTTTACGACCGGACCATGAACTCTCCTCTATATCAAATATTGAACAAGACAAATGTGGGGCCATCTGTCCGAACACTAAAGCAGGAAGATGATCCCAAACAAAGCAGCAAACCTACAGCATGATGTGAGACAAAGAAAAGCACGAAGATGGGCAAAGTCCAGCCATTTAAAAGGTTGGAAAAAGAAAGAAAGAAAGAAAAACTTGGTGGGGCTTTAATAAAGCCAAGCGTAAAACAAAAAAACTGTAAATCTAAATCGAAAGACTGAATCAAAACTGCTCCTTCAGTTTTTAATCAGCTGATTATCCTCAAATTAGAAAGGAGACATTGACTTTTTTTTGTTACAACCTTTGGGCAAATAACGTATTTTTGCTGTATAAGTTGCACCTTTTTGCATAAATTAGCATGCCCTGCAACTTATACAGCGAAGCGACTTATTTATGTTTTTTCCTCCATATTTATGATCCAATTTTTGGCTGAGATCTGACAATTTCATTCATTCTGACATGGAAAATACTGAACACTACCATTTTCAGCCACTAGAGGGCGATCGAGTATTATGGCAAGCCAAATGTCTTATTAATAGGTAAAAGTGTCTATTAAGGAGACATTTGGCTTGCCATACAGCCCACCTTCATCTCGCTCCAGAACTCCTGGAGCAAACGTCAAATCAGCTGCATTTCTCTGCACCGCCCAGGAGAATTGCAGCTGATTTGACCATTAAAGAACATTTATTAAGGAAAAGTTCAAATGAGACACCTTTACTATAATTTCAAGCAAACAAATAATTGTTTGTAAGTGTTAATCTTGTTAAATTCTTGTTAAAGTCCTCTCGTTAACGCTTCCACGACCGCCATTTGGCAGCCGATCGAATTTTATCACAACACCGGCCCACGTTTCCGGGTGGTCAGCGGTGATGCATAATAAATGCGACTTATACAGTGAAGCAACGTATTTATGGTTTTTTTTTTTCCCACTTTAATAGACATATTTGGACTGATGCGACGTGTACGGCGGCGAGTGCGGTAACTCTTTACTCCCAGTTGATTGTTCTATTCTTCCAGTCAAATGGTAGAATTGTCACCAACAGGAATATTTATTCTAGGGATGCACGATATTGGATTTTTGACCGATGCGCCGATATGTTAAAACTTTTTTTTGGCCGATAACCAATACCAATACCGATATTTTCCCCCCTAGACCTACTTACAGAGACTACATAGCTTTCTTTGCTGTGGAACTAAAATACTACATTACTCTGCATGGTCTGTCAGTTTGGCCTGCTACCCAATGCAGATGCCAAAAAGGGGCTGAAAATGATGTCTGGATTATGTTTAATGTCAAATTTTGTCATTGGGTTGTCAGACAAAAACAGCGCCTTTTACTTATTACACACACACACGTGTATAAGTATAAAAAAGTGCCTTTTATTTCGGTGAGTTATTTTGATGGAATGGCCAATATCCGATATTTAAATATAATGCAAATATCAGCCGATACAATACCATGCTGATAATTTCGTGCATCCATAATTTATTCACATACATAATAGCTTTAACAATCATTGCATTCTCATTCAGTTCCAGTAGGTATTCTCTGTAAAAAAGACTTTCAGCCTTTTTGTCAGACAGACAGGAGCCCAATTTCCAGCTGTAGATACATTACACTGCACATGACAACCACGTGGTGAGATCAATTAGCTGAGGCTTTTTGTCACAGAGCACTTCACGTCACTTTAGACAAGCAATCCTCTATAAAAAGAGAATGAAACAGTTGATTATCTTTTTTTTTTTTAAATATAAAACTGAAGTCTTTTTATAAACCGTGTGTTCGCGGCTGTGTGTTGCAGTCACCTAATTCTCTGGCTGCACCGCTCAGCACAGTCTGCATGCTTTGTTCCAGCGCGTCCATCTTTTCTCTCAGCTCGCTCAGAACCGGATCGAACGATGCCTTCACCAGGAACTCGTGGTGTTCAATCTATTCGCATGGCACAAAGCATGCATTTAGAGAACAAGCAAACACAAAAAAAACTTTAAAAGAGACAAACACATTTACAGATAAAACACCTGGTTCATGTCCAGCGTGGTTTCGATCATCTCCTGGTACTTTGTGAAATCTTTCTGCAGGTCTCGGAGAGGAGAGGTGAACGCTGCCTGCAGCAGCACCTGGTAGCTGCCTACAAACACACGTGCAGAGGCTTAAAACACTTGAACAAGATTCTTGTTCGGGTTCGCCTCAGGTTTGTGTGTACCTGAGTATCTCTCCAGGGCTGTGATGAGGGTGGGGAGCTGGCTCACAGCCTGGTAGACGCGGTAGCAGTCCTGCAGAGTTGCAGTGTGTCGGTGAAACTTTTTGGCCAGGCGGTGAAGATCGGGAAAGCGGCGCAGCAAATCCTCCTGACAAGTCTGCCTGAGCTCGGCGTCGCACACGAAGCTCTCCACGAGGTCCAGCCTGCGTGCGCGCGTTCAATATCAAGAAGTGAAAGTTCAACAATCATCTTGATCGTTTGAACCGAGCGCTGCATTTTTACCTTTCTTCTATTTTGGTTTTGTCCATGAGTGGCTGTTTGATCCACTGGTTGACCAGCCTCTGACCCTGCGGAGTTCGGCACTTGTTCAGCAAACCGGCCAACGAGTGAGCGCCGCTGGCGTCGTCAGGTGAACCCTGAAACCATTCAAACTCATAAAACTGCAATCAGTCCCCAAAACAAAATCAAGGCATGGATTGAACATTTGAGGCAATTTCACTGGGTTTGGATATTTTATAGGACATTGAATAAACATATTTACATTGATTTTATAATAAGAATTAATTGGATAACAACTGCTTTTGACAGGTTTATAATTTTAGGAAAGCACCACAGATCTGAAGCCCATTAATGAGATGGTTTGCGGTTTTCTCTCTCTTACATTTGTTTTGGTTGGGGCTCCCTTGTCCAGGCTCCACAATGCTGGTATTTGTTCTTGGAGCCATTTAATTACAGTAGTCCCTCACTACTTTGCGGTTTGTTTGTCGCAGACTCACTCTATCGCGGTTTTTCAAAAATGAGATTGGACATGACACACAATTGGCCGATTGATGGATGAGCTGCACGATTGGCATGGAATATTTATTTAAAATAAATTATTGTTAATTATTTAGCACCTCCTGCGCCATTGTGCAGCCCTTACTGCAGGACAAACTTCCTGCTGCAGCTGATCAGCTGCTCTGCATGCAAAGCTGAGAAGTGGGCGTGGCCAAGAGCGCTTGCATACCGGTACTTACTACTTGTACTACTATTCCTACTTAGTGTTTCTCACTTATCGCAGGGCTTCAGGTACGGATCCACCATAATATAAACGAGGGACTACTGAAGAACAATAATATTTGTGGGCTTGTCCAGGATATAAACGCAGGACATTTTGAAAAAGGCTTTTAATCTGATTGAGTTTCCCACAAGTACTTTTGAGACGAGCTAACTCAGCTGCTCCCCATAAATTTATGATTCTATACACAAATACGCAAAAGATGAACCTTGTAAAATAATGTTGAATTTTCTGGTCAGAGAATCTTTCACTGTGGAACAGCCATGACGGACCTGCTCTACTTTATCAAGAGAACCCAACTGAGTGTTGGGCATCGGTCACAGTCACTGACCTGGAAGAGGTTAAGAGCCCTGACGGCGGCGTGGTCCAGCCTCATGTACTGACCAAGCTCCAGAGTGGTGAGACTAAAGGAGTTAAAGTTGGACTCGTCAGAAAGCAGCTCGAGGAAACGCACCACAGCAGCCAAACAAGACATGGCCACCTGTGAACGAACGCACAAATAAAAACTGAAGTCAAACTTTGATTTCTTCTTTTTATTTTATGAACTAACTTTTGTACAATACTGGCACTGTCTGCGTGAACAAAAACAGTCATTACAACGTCAGCGTTTATTCACTTCAGATAACTTGCACTTTATTCTCCTCTATTATAATAAAACCCTCAGACTGAGTCAGGTTTCCTAGAAAGACTGGAGACCTTTTGTTTACTCATGAATGTTCACAATGCTCCTTTATGTAGCTGCCAAACGACTGCTCACAAGATCGTCACACATTTACCGTATTTTCCGCCGTAAACGTTGCACCGCTTTATAAGTCGCATCAGTTCAAATATGTCTAATAAAGTGGAAAAATCCATAAATACGTCACTTTGCTGTATAAGTTGCATTTATTGTGTGTCACCGCTGACAACCCGGAAATGTGGGCCGGTGTTGTGCCAAAAATTGATTGGCTGCCAAATGGCGGCCGCAGGAGCGTGCACAGAAGGACTTTAAACAACAATTTAACAAGATTAACTCTTAAAAACAATTATTTGTTTGCTCGAAATTATAGTAAAGGTGTGTCTCAGTTGAACTTTTGCTTAATAAATGCACTTTGACCGTCAAATCAGCTGCATTTCAAAAGCCGATATGCGGAAGTAGGAGCGCGCAGAGAGACGACTCGCTGTGCATTTCTTTAAAATTTAACAAGATAATCACCTAAAACAATTATTTGTTTGCTCAACTTTATAGTAAAGGTGCGTCTCAGTTGATTATTTTACTTAATAAATGCACTTTAATGGTCAAATCAGCTTAATTTCGCTGGGGCAGCACAGCGATATGAAGCGGATTTGATGATTGCTCCAGGCGACCTTCACAAAGGTGGAAATGTACGGCAAGCCGATTGTGTCATTAATAGCCACTTTTACCTATTACATGACAACAGCGTGCCACACTACTTGAGTGCCATCTAGTGGCTGAAAATGGTAGTGTTCAATGGATTGTGTACCTGGATTGTTGAGCATGGACTGTTTTGGTTTTGAACCAGTTTGACATGACTGTCGACGAGGAAGAGGGCCGGTTCCAGAGGAGGGGGCGTGCCAAAGACACCATCTTAGCACTAACATAGCTGGTTTGTTCCACTTTGGAGTAAGCTGTTTGGGGGAAGAATCAGTTTTGTTGCGTGTTTCCTTGACTGATGAAGCCTTCTGGATGGAAGGTGAAACGTTTCAGAAAAAAAAAAGAAACTGTCCAGATGACCTGACTGAAAAATGTTGGATTGTATACCTGGATTATTGAGCATGGACTGTTTTGATAGTGTTCAATATTTTCAGTCAGAATGAATGAAAATGGTCATATCTCAGCCAAAAATTGGTTTATAAATATGGGGGGGGGGGGGGGAAACATAAATAAGTCGCAGGGCATGCAAATTACGCAAAAAAACCTGGGACTTATAGGTTGAAAAATACAGTACAACCTAATGTTTGTCCCACTGGGTTACGTGTCGAGACATTTTTGTATGAAGCTAGAAAATCATCAGCTGGTTGGTAATGGTTTGTCACCCATGGAAACCTTAAAATGCAGGTATGAAAATAAATAAAATACCTGCTTGTCCAGTTCAGGTAGTGTGTTGCTCACTACCGTCTCCCCTCTCTTAGATCTCAGCAGCCTGTTGAGATCCTGAACGATGTCCTTGCTGCTGAACTCTGCTTTCTTTCTGTCAGAAACCAGCATGCCGCCACGCTGTACCACCTGCACAGAAACAGAACATGCCTCTGCTAATGCTCAATATGAAGAGGGTTAAAGCAGAAACTACATTTTTGTGTTGGTTTGAGGCTTCCTGGACATACAAGGATGCAAAGATGGCACCACATACCTCCCGTAGTTTGTTCCCATCAGCGCTGGATTCACCCTGAGCTAGGAGACACTCTTTGGGGCTGATCTGGACAAGCAGGGACTCCAGGTTGGAGAAGATCTCATTGTCTGGAAACTCACACACTCCCATTTTCCTCTGGGCAGCGTCCACGTAGCCGACCCCAACCACACGCTGCCCGTCGGCTCCTGTCGCAAATCGCACCGCAACGACCCCCGCGCAGCCCTCCGCTCCGGTTCCACCGCCAAACAGAATCTCCTCAAACTGAGTCAAGTTTCCCGGAGACGCCTGAGTCCAGAGGAAACGGGGTGAGAGGGAAACACGGTCACGACACAACACGAGAGAAAGTACAAAACAAAACACAAAATGAAGACAACACTTAGTATTTGTGTGGTTGTCTCTCGAATGTTGCTTTCTCCGTTTTATTTTTTTATTATTATTTTAAAAATTTGATAAAACCGTGTTCTTAGTTTCAGCGTCGTTTGTTTTTGTTACTTTCTGAAATAAAAACACTGTTTTTTGGAAAGTGTTCCAAATTGTTCCTCTGCATTAAGAGCTTGCATTTATAGTTTTTTACTGTCATGTTATTGTGGTCTATTTTTTTTTTTTATCTATTTTAGTTTATTCTGAATACTAGAGGCCAAAATAAAAGCAGACAGCGTGGTTAGAGTGCTTCATCTGGCTTAAAGTGTGTCAGTTCTCCCAAGCAGTCCTTGTAGTTTTAGAGGTGTCACAGACAGTGGACAAAACAACAAGTTGGGAATGTCTTACTGTTTAAAAACCACTTTGTTACATGATTTCATTTATTCTGGGCATGAAAGACTGAGACTAAATGTAGAAACCTTCAATGACTGAAACAGAAAGATGGAAATAAATCTGGAATAACTCAATCAGAAATCTTCTGCAGTTGAAACTCCACCCCAAATGATGCACAGGCCACTTTTCACTCTGTCTGACAAATAAAAGCCTCTAATGGTCCTGGTTACCTTGTACTCAATCCTCCAGTCGTGCTCTTTGCTGCTCTTGCTGTGGTTCCTGTACACCTCCACTCTGTACTGCCTCACCAACAACAAGTCCTTCACAAAGGCTTCAAAGTTCAGCTTGCTCAGGATCACACTCTCCAGCTTGCGACTTCCTGTTGACAAACAACAATTGGGGCAAACAACAAGGTGTGGAGTTGTTTCATATGATAAACGAATTGAAACTACTGGAAACCCCCCCCCCCCCCTCTTTTTTTTTTGTTATTTTATTCTATTTGATTCTTGTATTATTATTGTTTTTTTAAATTTTTTATTATTATTATCATTTCTGTGTGTTTGGTGCTTGCTTTTTCAGATTCGAATATCTCTAATATCGATGCCATATTTGTTGTAAATGCTGTAAATAAAGGTAAAAAAAATAAAATGAAATAATAATAAATAAATAGAAATTGGACGTTATAGACAGGACATTTGTGATGAGATTGTTTAAATGCATGTTTGAGGAGAGAAACGGGTTTCAAACCTTAGTTAATAGTTCATTCGGCTATAGTTTATATAAAAAAATACCTACTTATAAATATACTTATAAATACCTAATTGTAATAATAAGATATAAATAAGACAGCTAGCTAAAATTAAAAGTAGTCTCGGAGGTTACCTGAACCCAAATACTTGATGACCCCATTCGTCTTAAAAACCTCCTTGGCAGCAAATATGGCGTCCTTCCCGTGAACGGTGTAATAGTCGTTTCGGTCAAATATTCTCAAAGTCGTGTCCGGTTTCTCCGGCATGGAGAAAATGAAGTTTAAAAAGCCGTGCTCGGCCGCACTGTCCATGGACATGTTCTGCTTCGGCTGCACCGCCATGACGGAATCTCCCGCCACCGACGAAGTCAAACAGGAAGTTACGTTCATTACGTTCTGTTCCCATGGAAACAGCGAAGGAGCCGAGCTATGCGTCTTCTTCGTGAGTTTAAATTAAAGGAAAGTGGGAGGGATTGTGTGCACTATCGCCACCTAAGGCGTCAAAGTAAATGGTTGACGTATTAATTTAAAACAAAAATTTAATTAATTTTAAACAAAAAGGTATGAATGTTAACAAACTTTTTTTTCAATTCTGTTTAGACATCTTGGGTCCCCATAGGTTTTAAATGCTGATTCAGCATTCACACTTTTGTTTTCATGTTTTGTTTAGCTTTTTCTGACTGATTTGTTTTATTTATTGCAATCTAGCTATTTTTTCTTTCATTAGTGCTAATAAAATGTTCATTTTATTCAGGAGAGATATGCTGCGAGTTTTTGAGTTTGGTAGCTTACACTTTACTAAATACACACACACACACACACACACACACACACACACACATATATATATATACACACATACAGTACTGTTCACACATCTAACCTGGCTCACTAGTGCCACCTTCTGGGAAGAAGTAATCTGATTCATCCAAACCAAGATTGACTTTTTCTGTTTAGGTTGTACTGTTTGGAGTCCATGATGGCAAAAGCAAAAAAAACCCAAAAACAGACAGAACCATAGATTATGAATCTAATAATACTCATTGGGAAACACCACATACACAAATCTAAGTTAAATCACTCCATTCCCTCTTTTCTGGCATTCCAAAAGGAGTCTGAACATTATACCATACCATACCATACCATACCATACCATACCATACCATACCAATTTATTTATATAGCACTTAAAACAGCAACAAGGCCAACCAAAGTGCTGTACAAAAGAACCAAACATGCACAGCAGACAGGAAAACATAAAATAGAAATACAGATACAAATAGTATTATGGTACACATCGCTGACTGTAAGAACAAAAAAGTTGTTAAAATATTTGATTTGTGTTCTTTATTGGATTTACTTGTGTAGCATGAAGGTGCACTCCTCTAACTATGACCCCTGACCTTGGGTGTCTTCCAGCCTCACCCTGAATTGTTTTCTTTAAAGTTACAATGGACTCTAATATTGTCTGGTGCAGAGAACGTGTCTTGCAGTAAGAAAAATGCTTCATCTTCTTTAGTTATTTAACTTCTATGTCCTTCTAATTGGGCAGCACGGTGGCGCAACTGGTAGAGCTGCTGCCTCTCAGCGAGCAGGTCCTTGGTTCAAACCCCGGTACAGGGGCCTTTCTGGGTGGAGTTTGCATGTTCTCTCCGTGCATGCGTGGGTTTTCACCGGGTACTCTGGTTTCCTCCCACAGTCCAAAAACATGCATGTTAGGCTGATTGGTAACTCTAAATTGTCCATAGGTGTGAGTGAGAAAGTGAATGGTTGTTTGTCTCGTTTGTCTCTATGTGGCCCTGTGATGGACTTGCGACCCGTCCAGGGTGTACCCCGCCCCTCGCGCAGTGATTGCTGGACATGGGCACCGGCGACCCCCCGTAATCCAAAATGGAACAAGCGGGTAAAGAAAATGGATGGATGGATGGATGTCCTTCTAATTAATTGTAATTAAGCAACATGTTTATTTGCTCAGGAGTGAGGAGGAGTGGACCTTGGACTGCATCAGGTTCAGGAACCCAAGATGAACTGGTTTCTGGTTAGGAGCCGATGACGAACTCAGAAGATGATTTTGCTAACTAGGGAACACTATGACTCCCCTCCGAAGTAAACAGTTCCTGCTCAAAGAACACTTATAGCAGGTGTCTCTGAAGGAAAATTATTCATGTTCATCCTTGTTACGTCAATAAAAAAATTAAAAATGTATGATTTGTTTTCCTTTCTTAAAGGCAAAAGAAAAATAAGGTAAACATTAGTCAGACTTTAGCTGACTCTGTGTCCAAGGATGGTGAATGTGTGAAAAACACCAGACAGTATCAAAGTCAAATGTAACTTTAAAGAAGACAATTCATAATAAATCAGCAGCATAAGATCAGCAGCATGGATAGTCAGCAGCACATATCAACAATCACACAAAGGTCACATAAATCAAGGTCACAATACATTTTCCCCTGAGTCTTGTGGTGAAAACGTTGTTGCCTCACTAACATCATTAGACAGTCTTTTCAAAAATAATGGCTCACTTCCTCAATTGTAAATGAGTTCAAAGTTTCTGGGGTGATAATGAAATGATACAAACTGATGTGCTATAATAAAAGTATATTTCAGAGAAATGATATAACAACAGTGGCTCAGTTGACCTGTTGCTTCTCAGCCAGAAGGTCACTGGATCAAAGCCCGGCTGGGGGCCTTTGGAGTTTGCATGGGCTCACATGTTCACATGTTCTCATGTTATGTCCTTTTGATGGACTTGGGATCTTTCCAGGGTGTCTCCCACCTCTCGTACAGTGATAGCTGGGTAAGGACACCAGGGGCCCCTGAAACCCGAAAAGGAAGCAGAGGATAAATATGATGTATGTATGTATGTATGTATGTATGTATGTATGTATGTATGCATGTATGTATGTATGTATGTATGTATGTATGTATGTATGTATGTATGTATG